CGATCCTTAGCTATGATTAATTAATGATGAACATGTCATTTTCGTTTATAATAGATTTCCTCACAATTCTTCTGTTAAGCTTGGACAATAATTATATAATACTCTTATTGCTCAAAATAGAAACTAATATCGTTATAAAAAACCTCGGACATTTTAGTAAGATATCTTTAATCTTTTTAAGGTACGACGGTTCAAAACTTAATCTAACAATCGGATAATTTTGCTGTTACACGATTTAGATAATTTTTATTACACCCGATATATATATATATATATATATATATATATATATATATATATATATATATATATATAAATGTTTAGAGGTACAAAATTTATATATAGTTTTAAAAACAAGGAATGTATTGATTTTAATTTTAAAAGTCCCTAAGGCCCTTTCAGCCAACATCTCATCAGGAGACAATCGTTGGATCAACGAAAAGAATATTAACGACAATGAAGAGCAAAAAAGAGGGAGGGGACACTAAAAACAAACAAGTGTATATATTTGTAACGAGGGTGGGGAAATAATCGTGTAAATAAATTAGCGAGGGACAGTTAAAATAAAATATCCCCAACAGATTAAGAGATTTTACAAATTCTTTCTGCCGGCAGAGAGAAGGTTTCCTTAATCTATGCAGACCGATTCCAAAATCTTCAAATGATTGTTGGAATCGGCTGTATGAATAATTTTAAACCCCTCTTTTTTAATCGACTTGGCGCAGACTATATTCTCAACTAAATGTTGAGAAATAGCCGATTCCATATACATGGGGGGAAGATAGCATATTTTATCTATCTTACCAAGTCGTATTTTGGAAGGTACATGCTGATTGATTCTAGTTTCCAGATGCAAGGTTGTACGCCCCACATAACCAGCAGCACACTGGCAATTAAACTCATATACTAAATTACTCAATTTGATGTAGGGCAATACATCCTTGCGAAAAGACGGAAACACAGATCTATATATAAATATATATATATATATGTCACATTATGAAATGGACAAAGTCCGACAATTATTTTAAGACATTTTATGTTTATACATTCTATAGATACAAATATTGTATATATATATATATATATATATATATATATATATATATATATATATATGCAGATTATACTACGGTGGAAGGATGCACCTCCAAATATCTGGATGACCAATGTCTCCCAGATGATCTCTCTTCTGACCTGTCAGAGGTCAATGGACGAAAGTGTCATTCAGTACCTCCCAAATAAAACTGGCAACATTTCATCACATCATGCAGACCTAAAATTTGCTCACATCCGAATTTAGTGGACATATTCTCCAATAAAATCCATGACCCCAAACGCCTATTGGAACTAAAGCTCATTCAAAACCTCAAATGGAATTCTCATATTCGTGCCATTCGTATCATCGCTAAAGATGCTGGAATAATGGTCGGTTTCTTGTGTCGCTCCTTTTAGTATCTGATGCCTCGTACCGCTATGCTCTATTTTTACAAGAGTCGGGGTGGAATATTGCTGCCAGGTCTTTGCTGGTCCTGCTCGGTCCTCACTGTGAAGTTCTAATGCATTTAGGCGAAACTTGTTGGTGATTAATTATTTTGAACCCTGTAATTATTAAACCACAGACGAAACGTTGCTTAACCTCGTACTAATCTATCGCTATTATCATGAAAAATGTTGTAACCAGTTATATTACTTAGTCATCACAGCTAAAACCCACAATGCCATGTTCACGATGAAAAATCCCCCCCCTTTCTCTTCGTGTTACTTTGGTAAGGCGTACGTTCCACTCAGACGTCATCTTCTTCTTCAAAACTGTTGCTTTGTAGAGCAGACTCCCGAGCGGATGCTTCCCCGATCATTACAATCTTAACCTCTTCAAGCACAATTTCAACCGATATATATCCTACATGTCCTCATCATATAGCCTTACAACCTCTTTTCCGTTTTCTTACAAATATCTCACTCAGCAGTAAACCTCTACTTTGACTGGCTCTTGGGTGAACTAAAATAAAAAGAAAAACAATGACGAAATTGAGTAAACCAAAAGGAAGGTTTTCGTATGCACAAGTTTCCTTCCGATTTATTATCAGGTTACATCAAGGCCGCGTAACCGGTTCTTGAAATATTAAAAATGGGCGGATCGTTTTCTAGAAATACCTCGTATAATTAAGTGGACGTGCAGAGGAATTGGCAAATTGTTCTGGCAAGACATGGAATTTAATATGGTATAACACAACAGCATAGCAAATAAGTGTCGCTCAGCTAGTTTAAGAAATATCTTGATATGGAGAACTTTCTAGTTAATGTTCATATTTATTTTCATGAAATACAATATATTTATTCATCCATCTATCAAGAAACCAATGTTGGACTTCATAAAATTCCACTAGAAATAGCATAGAATATGAAAAAAATGCCTAATTGTTCATTTTCGAACCCTCTGTCGCGCTGTTTAGAAAATGAAAAACAATGGCTCTCCACAACTTCCTGTCTTTTGATGTCTACTATGTAGACTTTTATGGCTCGTTTTCTTTCATTCATTTGTTGAGACATGTAAATTACGATTCTAGCTATTTTCCTTTTTTTGGGGGGGGGTGCCCAGAGAGTGTTAATTCTCCAAGCCGTCTTTCCTCATTACATATTTCTAAATGTGCAATTTCCGAACCCTTATTGGTGACGAATTATATTCTACCTTCCAACCTCTCTCCCACAGAGGGGATATAGTAAGCTTCTCTCTGCTCTATCGCTATTTCCACGGAAAATACTCGGAAGAACTACATTCCCTGGTCCCGCGAATTCAAACCTTCACGGTAAGGACACACCCTGCCACTTATATAGTAGCAAATCACCCAAATTTTCTCCGTATTCTATCGGTGATAAATAAGTCCAGCTTGGTTGTAAGTTCAGCTCTAACAGCGTCTTCCCGTGAACCACTACTCTGTGGAACCAACTCCCAAGAGGATGCTTCCCTGATTATTACACTCTTATCCTATTCATAGATAGAGTCAACCGTTATCTTCCATGCCTATACACATAAATTTCCTCCTAATGTAACCCTCTACCTCGAGTGGCTACAGGGTAAACCTTGCTGCAAAAAATCTCTTTCTGATTCTTTCTTTGTAGTATGCTTATAATGTCCTTACTTTTCACATCAATATGCTTATAATGTCCTATTTTCTAATAGAATTCCCAACCTTCCTCGGCAGAACCACTCTCTGCCACTTCATGCCTCTTCTTCCGAATAGCGATTTTCTAGCATCCATTACCATATAAGTGATAACATATTACATATGTTCTCTAAATCTTCTTTTTCCCATTAAATGCAATGTCAATCGTTATCTTCTGCCTTCTTAAATTTTGTTCCTTTATTTATTTATTTCACTCTTTAATAATGTTTTTTTTTATATTCCTTCCCACTCAGTAACCCCCACCCGCATGTCTGTGACTTGGGGTGAAATTATTCAAACATATATATATATATATATATATATATATATATATATATATATATATATTGGGTGAAAAAACACATATATTGGAGTGAAAATATTAAAACATATATATATATCTAAAAAATTTATTTCGGTTGAGCTCTCTGGGGAGGAAGTGTGAGTTTGTAAACAAGACTACTACTGCTAATAATGCAAGACTCTTCGGTAAATCGAATTGAGTTCTCTCAGTCACTGGGTGTTTATCTAAAAATAAATGCATTTAAAATTCACCTTCATCCCTGCCGTGCGCCAACGACTTAGTGGTAGAATCACCGACTGACGCCAATTCAATCGGGTTTCGATACTAACTAGAGGCAACCAGATATCTAGCCACACTGATGAGCTGTGATACAGCGAAACAGTCTGTCTGTGGATGACAATATATATATATATATATATATATATATATATCAGAAATCCGGTTGAGCTCTCTACGGAAAGGGAGTTTTAAAAAACAGCGGCTCCTACAGCTGTTAAGCATTATTCTTCAAGTCGATTGAATTGAGTTCGCCGAGCCGCTGGCGTATTTCTTATGGAAAAAAAAAAACGGTAAAATTTCCTCCTTTCTGCGGTGGCCACGAGGTAAGATATCTAACTGGTGTCAAATCAGTCCGATTTCGATCCCGGTTGAAGCAATCGGACATCAGCCACACTGGTGAACTGTAATACAGCGAAACCGTCTGTCTATGCATGACTATATATATATATATATCCAAAAGTTCAGTTGTCGATTTTTATTATATCCATATTGTTAGTCATTGTTTTTTTTGTTGTTTCAAATCTCCTTATAAATTCCTTATTTTTTACATCCTCAGTCAAGAGCATTCCCGATCTATGTGGCTAGAATAATATCTCTGACGTTTCAAGTCTTTTTTTCATCTGTGAAGAATAGTTCAATATTTGTATTTACTCACTGACCCCATGGGGTCAAGTTGTGACACAAAGTTATTTTAATGTGGTGATCCCGAATGCGTACACCCGGGTTAGGAACAAAAATTTCCCGAGCGCACGCATCCGTGCACCGATCACTCTCTCTAATGTAATGAGAGGGCGCGGCTTCGGGCAGCTGTTCCTCAGGGCTGGGCATTTCTCAATATAATTTTCTTCAATTGCGACTCTGTCCTTTGAAGGAACCGCCCCTGAGCGCACTCTGCCCAAAGACAGAGACGCAACTGAGAGATGATAAATAAACTACTCGAGAGCAATTTACACACATTACACACATAGATTAATTCAACATCAGCTGCAACAAAGATTAAACAATACACAGCGATTCATCATTTCTTTGTTTCTAATGAATTTTTTCGATCTCTTAATAATTTGCTTACTTTCGGAAAGACATCTTCATTCAGTGGATCCAGTCAAAATTTCATTTGTCTTTCCATACCTATTTTCTTGTTTTATAAAGGCTTAGAAATGAAGACAGAAGAAGGAAAGTTTTAAAATTCAATCATACCGCGTTAATATTAACCTCAACCAAAATTACTTATCAACCCACTGCTCTTTTCTATGTTTCTAAAGACAATTCCAGAAGCAGAATCTCTCCCTCTCTTTTTATCTCTTTGTCTCTGTTTCTTTCTCATTCTCTCTCTCTCTCTTTCTCTGTTTCTTATTCTCTCTATCTCTCTCTGTTTCTTTCTCATTCACTCACTCTCTCTGTTTTTTCTCAGTCTCTCTCTCTCTGTTTCTTTCTCATTCTCTCTCTATCTCTCTCTCTGTTTCTTTCTCATTCTCTCTCTATCACTCTCTCTCTCTGTTTCTTTCTCATTCTCTCTCTATTTCGTAATACGTAATTTCAAAAGCAGAATCTCTCCCTCTTTTTCTATCTCTTTGTTTCCGTTTCTTTCTCATTCGCTCTCTCTCTCCCCCCCCCTCTCTCTGTTTCTCATTCTCTCTATCTCCATCTCTCTCTGTTTCTTTCTCATTCTCTCTCTCTGTTTCTTATTCTCTCTATCTCTATCATTCTCTGTTTCTTTCTCATTCTCTCTCTCTCTCTCTCTCTCTGTGTTTCTTTCTAATTCTCTCTATCTCTCTCTGTTTCTTTCTCATTCACTCACTCTGTTTTTTTTTCTCATTCTCTCTCTCTGTTTCTTTCTCATTCTCTCTATTTCGTAATACGTAATTTCAAAAAGCAGAATCTCTCCCTCTTTTTCTATCTCTTTGTTTCAGTTTCTTTTCTCATTCGCCTTCTCTCTCTCTTCTCTCATTTTTCTCATTCTCTCTATCTCTATCTCTCTGTTTCTTTTTCTCATTCTTCTCTCTGTTTCTTATTCTCTATCTCTATCATTCTCTGTTTCTTTCTCATTCACTCTCTCTCTGTGTTTCTTTCTAATTCTCTCTCTGTTTCTTTCTCATTCTCTCTCTATCTATCTATCTCTCCGTTTCTTTTTTTCTCATTCTCTGGGTCTTTTAGAACCTGAGGAGTCATAGTTCGCCACACCTCTCTTTTCTTTGTTCTTCCTAGATCCTTTGTTTTTGCTTTTATAGTACTCGTTCCTCCATCTCTTTATTTAAACTTATCAAATAGGATTCTCGCTGATTTCCTCTAATTTCTTTGCGTTCAATGTGCCGTATGAGTGCTAAATTCTCCAAGTCCTTTTCCTCAATATGTTGGTCATAATTTCTTTGTCGTTCTAATTTTCCTTAAAATATCCCTGTTTATTACAGTCTCAGTCAAGGTATCTCTGTAGATTCTTACCTTTTTAATCATTAGCAATGGAATCGTCTCGCATTCGTTGACCTGTCAAAGATTAGACATTTACTTTTTTATGTATTACGGAATATATATTTCTACAAAATGATATAAATCTTGTTATTTAAAATAAACTATGCAAGTATTTGAAAATCGGACAAGAGGTTAAGGAAGCGGCAATCAGCTACTGACTGCATTTGAAAAAATGGTATGAAATTAGTAGTTATAGAAGTTAGTCAAGGAAAGCGAGAAGAAAGGACTAAACATAAACTACGAGAAGACAGGATGACAGGAAGACAGGATGAGCCCGAAATTCAAATTCAAATTCAGGGATACCATACTCAAACCAGGTGCAAAAATCTGGTCCGGTTCCTTGTACCACGGTGATAGTCCAAGGTAGAACCAATAAAGAAGAACTCGAAGGCGGAGATGGAATAACACAGATATATTACAAACAGGAATATATACAGAGAGGTAGAAAATTGTTAGTACGAACAATCAGGTTTAGTAGTTTTGTCTGAACGCGACTCTGTTTCGGACTGCCTCTGACTCGACTGACTGACTCCTGACGGACCTCACTCCAGACTTCAGACTGAACTCTAGACTGAACTCCAGACTTCAGACGGAACGGTATTTAGTCACGCCCCCCACGAGGGCATCATGTGGCAAAAAGCGGATTTAACGTGGGATCTCCGAGCCCGTGGGCTCGGCCAAAAATATGCCCTTTGAACCCGTATACACGGGTTCAGGATCGGTTTACTTCCCCGAAAGAGACTCCGCCCTTCGGCGTAGCCTCGTTCGGATCCTCCCCGCCCGAAGGCAGAAAGTTGAACCGATCAGCCGATCAGCCGGTCGCCCGACTTCAGACTGAACTCCCTGCTTCCTCTTGAGGCGCAGTATTTATTACGTATGGAATAGTCCATTATGTTATTATGGGTAAGGTCCCATAACAGAAGTGTTCTAACAGAGGACGGAATGTGCAATACTTAAATCCGAAGGCGCATTCGGATGGCCAAAGATGCCTTCCAAAATCTAAGCAGAGTATTAAAAGACAGATAAAAAAAAAAAAAAAACTCGAGAGAAACAAAGAAAAGAGTAATTAACTGTTAACTTCCTACATGGGAGTGAATGCTGGACAATATCCTCAAAGATGAAGAAGAAACTTGAGGCAACAGAAATTCGGTTCTACAGAAGGATGCTGAAGATACCATGGAACGAACATGTGAGCCGCGACGAGGTTTTAGCGAAAAGAGGAACAAAAATAAACTTATAGTTAATATCAGGAACAGGCAGTTGAAATTTCCGAGGCACTTAACGAGGAAGGAGGGCTTGGAAAATCTGATACTCACAGGGAAAGAGGGACAGAGGAAAACAGCACGAAACCTGCCTAGCGAGCTTGAGTAAATAGATGGCGGTACAGGCTTTAAGAGTAATAGCTAAAAGGCAAAATTTATTAAGAGTTACAAGTGACAGGAATATGTGGAGGGCCGTGATCGCCTATATCCCGAGGGCTCACGGCATATAAATAAGAAGAAACAATGTATGTCACAGTGGCTGCGGAAACCTGAGAACAGAATTTTTATGAAAAATGTTCTTTTTTCTCCTTTGCAATTTAATCTGTTTTGACTAAACCTGGCCTTCGTTTTTGGAACGTTTTTTTTTAATTTATTTTTTTATTTATTAAGAAAATTGACATTTAAATAGAGGCGAGTAAATTGACGCCAAACTGCCGGCTCGATTTACAGTGTGCATTTAATACAAAACTGTTTTCTTACAGGATGATGTATTTGCTTCACCAATATACAGTTTTTCTGTAGCACAGATTTGAAAAGATGGACAATGATAATTTAAGCATGCCATCCCTTATTCCAAATGAATCTACTAAAAGAAAACAGCTTTTCTGACTCCCTTCGCGAGTTCAATGTACAAATAAAGAGTGACGTAACGTAGATATTCGTAGTTGGGACGAGAAGGATCTTGAACAGAAAATAAACATAAAGTTCAAGAAGTAGTGCTCAAGATAAACCTTTCCAAAACAGAAACTGTTATCTGGATTTTGGAAGGAAAATAGTGATGGCACCGACTTTGAATCTATCGTAAAAATCCAGGATGTGGAATTAGTAAATACTAAATACTTCGGTGTAGACATCACTTATAACAAATTTAATACAGAAGATAAGGAAATTGAACATAAAATAGGCTGTATTAAGAATAGTTTCATCCACCACAACTAGATGCTACAAAACTAAAATATTAAACAAAACAAAAATAGGCATGTTTTTAAATAGCTTCATCAGATCGAGACCTTAATATAGAAATCATGCACGGCGCCAAACTTTAGCCCCTTCCATGATTTCAGAAATATATAAACTGTCGACGATATACAAAGGCTTTCTCAGATCGATGATTAAAAAAAAAAAAGGTTCGAGCGAGTAAAGCGTGTAGGTCTCATCGATTGGTGTTACAGAGTCATAAACAAAGAACTGTACCAGATAACAGAAAACCCATCGCTTCAGGACTTTCAACAGCAGCAACAACTAAAACAGATAGCACATGGAACTCGATGAGAAAATAATGACATAATAAAGCAAAGAATGCTGGAAAATGCTGAGCAATAACTGTTATTAGACTTAAGGAACCTATTTTCCTGAAAAATTGTTTTAATAGAAAGATGTTTATAAATTTCACTGGACAGCAGACCAATGAATGTCGAATGTTTCCTCATAAGGAAACTGCTAATATTACCATTATCATTACCATTATAACACAACTGGCCCGGCACGATCCTGGGTCCTGCCAACTCTGGTCAGTACTGCCGTCAGTCAGTTGATATTTATCTACTTGCCGCTCCGTTCCTTCATCTGCTTCTGCCCCACGCTGTGTAATTTGATCACGGAGCAGTGAAGATCAAATTTCGCCCATACTCGAGTGCTGGGTCGAACCGTAGTGAAACCGTGCTACAAAAAAAAAAGAAAGAACGATTCCGCCGGCGAAATTAAAAATGACATGATAAAATAACGAAAAAGGTCGCCGGGTTAATTTTCAATTGTTTTATATAGTTCTTGATACCACAAAATTAACCCATCCGTTTAAAATCTCTATCGTGACACTTTGTCTTTTTCTTATAAACTTGGAATGGGTTGAAAAAAAAAAAGAAAAGAAAAAGAAGTCCGGGAATTCTCTTTGCAGCAGGTCACCTGGACTCTTCCTGCTTTCCACCTGGCTTCTGCAGCTTCTCTTGCCTTTTGTAAGCTTTTTAATGGCTTATCATTTTTAAGTCGCCTAAGTGCCCGTTTATATGTATTTCACCCGACTCCAACTGCACTCCAAAATTCATTAATATTCATAAGAATTCATTAACTATCTCTCCAATTTTGGAGAACCGATACTGACCTTCAAACAAAACGGCCTGCGGTCGGTCACTTAGTCAAAACAATAAATTCTTCAATAACAAACTTGTGTTTATAAATTCTTTTCTATATGCTTGAGGTCAATAAAATCGAGCCATCCTTTTGTTTTAAATAAGATCTGGGTCACCATGCATTGACATCAAAGACTTTCCTTTGTTGTCGACTTTTCAATAAGATCGATTAAAAAATATTACCAATTTTGCATGTTTAAAAAATCATATTTAAGATTATATTATGGCACCTTGCATTTATTGGAAATATTCAGAAATATGAGTTAATTTTTCCTTATTCAGTTTATTAAACAGGTTGTTAATTTTTTTTCTTTAAAACGGAAAATAACTGGGTGAAAATAATTCACTAAGAATGTACTAAACGATCCTAAAGCAAGGAAAAAGAAAGAAAGGAAAAAGGAAGAAAGGAAAGATAATAACAAAAGGGGGAAAGAAAGGAAAGACATGATATCAAAACAGGCCGCTGGGTGGACCAGATGTCGGTCAGAGCCTCTGACTGACCTTTAATTTTTGTTGAAAGAATAGAATTGAGATATCGGTCGCGAGCGCTGACATTTTCGTAGAAGAATTCTTATCAAAATAACGAAAGGTAACTTTTAAATTAGAATAATAGAAATGAATTTTACTTTAGTCAGAGAGAAAGTGTCTTTGGGTTGGGGAAGTGACTGGTGAAAACGATATACGGAATTGACCTGTTAAGAATTGGACACCCACGTTAAGAAAGTAGAGATATTTCGACCTAGATAATTAAGATTCTCGGCTATCAGGAAAACAAAGAGGTAAAAAGAAGAGCAATTGTTTTGGACCACGGAGGGCGCCAGGAAGGCGGAAAAAAGATCCTTTCTAAAAGTCAAGACTAATTAGCAGCGGGCTGTTTGACAAAAGTCCAGGTGAGAGAGGCAAGGATTGTCATTTTGCGTACGTGCAAAAAGGTGCGAGATCGGATTTTGTTTTTTTAAAACCAGCACGATGTAACCACACCCGCCAACAAAAGGGAGAGGGTGTTCGGTCAATAACAATTGGTCGAATACAATCACGTGACCGCGGAAGAAGAAGGAAAGAAAACCTCGATCAATAACTGTTGGACGAGGCGGTCACGTGGGCTGCGGAAAAGAAGAGAAAGAAAGGTTCGATCGGGAACGATTGGTTGAGAGCGATCACCTGATGAGAGAGAGACTAAGAGAAATAGATAAAGAGCACTGTGAGAAAGTAGGGGAAAAACAATAACGATAATGGAAAGTCAAAATTAATACGGCTTTTGAAATTATCGAGAAACCCCTGACGCCGACCGACCCACCCCGGCTTGT